GAGTGTGTATGTGGCCCCGGACACATCGCAGCACGGTGTCCAGTAAAAGACAACGCCCGTCAGTAGGTAGGAGGTTACTGGGTTACTGAATTAAGGGACACAAATCCGCTGGTTCAAGCACTCATCTTTCTGTCAGGCTGGTAATTCGGTCTGTTAATCATGACTGTGAGGCTTTAGTGGACTCTGGAGCTGAGGGGAATTTTTTGGACATTGGGTTCGCTCGGTCCCTTCAGATTCCTATGATGGAGCTTTCTCAGCCCGTCTCTATGCTTGCACTCAACGGCCAGGCCTTACCTGCTGTCACTCACACCACGGCACCTTTAAGACTCATCACTTCGGGGCAACACACTGAGGACATTCACTTTCTCCTCACCGACACACCCTCGGCTCCCTTAGTGCTGGGTCATCCCTGGCTGGTCCTCCATAACCCTCACATCAACTGGAGTAACGATACTGTGCTGGGTTGGAGCGAATATTGTCATGCCACCTGTTTGTTGTCCGCGTGTTCTCCTGTTGTTTGTTCTGTGTTTCAGGAGGATCATTCGGACCTGTCTAACGTGCCACAGGAGTACCTTGATCTGAGGGGAGTGTTCAGTAAGTCTCGGGCTGCTTCTCTACCTCCTCATCGTCCCTATGACTGTGCTATAGATTTATTGCCAGGTACGTCTCCGCCTAAGGGCAAGTTATATTCACTCTCCAATCCGGAGAGGGAGGCTATGGAGAAATATATTTCTGATTCTTTAGCAGCCAAGATCATCCGCCCCTCTTCATCTCCGGCCGGTGCGGGGTTCTTTTTCGTGAAAAAAAAGGACGGCTCTCTTCGTCCCTGTATTGACTATCGGGGCTTAAACGACATCACGGTGAAGAATACTTACCCTTTACCGTTGATGTCGTCGGCTTTCGAGCGTCTGCAGGGGGCGTCATTTTTCACGAAATTAGATCTCCGCAATGCTTATCATTTGGTTCGCATAAGAGAGGGGGATGAATGGAAAACCGCTTTTAATACCCCCAGGGGGCACTTTGAATATCTTGTTCTTCCTTTTGGCCTTTCCAACGCTCCCGCGGTTTTCCAGGCACTCGTTAATGACGTTCTGAGAGATATGCTAGATCAGTTCATTTATGTTTACCTGGATGACATACTGATATTTTCTCGTTCTCTCCAGGAACATGTTCAGCACGTCAGACGAGTGCTTCAGAGGCTGTTAGAGAATGGGCTTTTTGTCAAGGCGGAGAAATGCGCTTTCCATGCACAGTCTGTTCCTTTTTTGGGGTACATCATCTCGGCCGAGGGGGTGCGCATGGATTCTGAGAAGGTTCAGGCTGTGGTGAATTGGCCAACCCCAGATTCCCGCAAGGCCCTGCAGAGGTTTCTGGGCTTTGCCAATTTCTACCGGCGTTTTATTCGCAATTTCAGCCAGCTAGCTGCACCTTTGACGGCCTTAACCTCCACCAAGACTGCGTTCAGGTGGTCTAGTGCAGCAGAAGCGGCATTTTCCAAACTGAGAGGCTGCTTCGTTTCAGCTCCCATCCTCATAGCCCCTGATCCTTCCAGGCAGTTTGTGGTGGAGGTTGACGCGTCAGAGGTGGGAGTTGGTGGGGTACTATCCCAGCGTTCCCCCACGGACGGCAAGGTGCACCCCTGCGCGTATTTTTCTCACCGTTTGTCCTCCGCCGAACGTAATTATGATATTGGTAACAGAGTTGTTGGCAGTCAAGTTGGCCTTGGAGGAGTGGCGTCATTGGTTGGAGGGTTCGGGGGTTCCTTTTGTCGTCTGGACAGATCACAAGAATCTTGAATACATCAAGTCCGCTAAAAGATTGAACTCTAGGCAGGCTCAGTGGGCTCTTTTTTTCGGCCGATTCGATTTTTCCATTTCTTACCGTCCTGGTTCTAAGAACATCAAGCCGGATGCGTTATCCCGTATTTTTGATCATTCGGAGCGCCCGTCCCTGCCCGACCCCATTGTGCCAAGGAGACTTTTTATTTCTGCGGTCACATGGGAGATCGAGTCTAAGGTCCGCACGGCCTCTCAAGGGGTAACGCCCCCGTCCGGGTGCCCACCGAACCGGTTGTTTGTGCCAGAGTCCGTAAGGTCCGACGTTATCCGATGGGCTCATTCCTCCAAGGTAGCCTGTCATCCTGGGGTGAGACGTACCATGTTTCTGGTTAAACAACGGTTCTGGTGGTCAGGTATGGCTCGGGACATTGGTTTATTTGTTTTGGCCTGCTCCGTCTGTGCTGTTTCTAAGTCTTCCAA